CCCGAGCCGCCACGCGCCGCCCAGGCGCGACCGCACCGGCCGCCGACCCTGCCGGGCTTTCTTCGCGCGCCCTCTTCGCATGTACGAGAACACCGAAAGCCGGCCAGAGGTCGCTGCGTCCAGGCGCTCTCCGACTGGTCAGCACCAGGGGGTGTGCGCTCTGAGCAACCCACCAGGTGCAGGGTGGTAGGGGTTCTGGTGGCCAGGTGTGGGAGGCCGGGAGGAGGAGGCAGGGTTGTGCGGGCTAAGCTATCCACTAGCGTCACCATAACGTAGAGGCCAAGGACATTCTTTTCATGACTGAAGAGGCAGGAATGCTTGCTCTCACATACCGCAAGTGTGCCTGGGTCTGCCTGAAGGCAGCCCGGCTTGCGATGGCACTGCTGGGCGGCCACGGAGTCAGGTCACTAGCCGGTCCAACAGGGACGGCCAGCGCTCAGGGGCAAGAGGCGGCCACACTGGTGAGGCAAAGGTTATGTGCACAAACAGGGCCCCGGAATGCAAGGAAACAGCAGAAGAAACTGCAATGGCGAAGAGAAACCTTTTTGGACCCCACTGGGGGTAGAAATGGAACCTACACCCAAAGAAGGTGGACATGGGGAGTCCTTTTCCCACTCACATCAGGAGTAGGAGTTAAAGCAGGGTCAAGAAATAGGGCTGTAGCCGGGCATGGTGGCGTAAGCCTGAAATCCCAGCGCTAGGGAGGCTAAGGCAGGAGGATGTCAAGTTCAAAGCCAACCTCAGCAATTTAGTGAGGCCCTAAGAAACTTTGTGAAATCCTGTATCAAAGTAAAATACAAAAAGGGGATGTGGCTCAGTGGTTAAGTGCCCTTGGGTTCAATCCCTGGTATTAAAAAAAAAAAGTATGGCTATATTGCGAAATAAAAACTAGTGTGGCTGTGGCAGATGTAGTGGTGCTGGCCTGTGACCCTCCTGACTCTGGAGGCTGAAGCCAGCTTGGCCAACTTAGGAGACTCTTTCAAAAAACAAAAACAACTCAAAAACCTGGCTGAACTAGGGAACATAAAATCAGACTACCTTTGACTGGTCCCAAGGTCAAAGAGACTGGGGATTATAGCCAGTCCTTCATTTTTGAGACAGGGTCTCACTAAGCTGCCCAGGCTGGCCTTGAACTTGTGATCCTCCTGCTTCAGCCTCCCAGGTTGCTGGGTTACAGGTGTGACCACCATCCCTGCCAAGCTTTGTGGTTTTGAACACTTAACTGTGCTCCTGTTGAGCTGGGTCTGCACCACTGTCCAATCACCAGGTTGAGAGGACTCCTCAGATTCAACTGGCTGTTCTAATATGACGTGGGGTATAAGGCTAAATTAGCATTCTGGAGCTGTAACACTGGAGGCACTTTTAGGCTTAATATGACAATCCCAATACTCCTAAACTAGAATAAGTCCAAGCTAGAGCTCCCTACTACAAAGGGTCTCCTTCTGAGTACCTGGTGGGGCAAATCAGATGTTTCTAAAACTCTTCCACTGCTAATGCTGAGTAGGCCTAGCTGTTGTGCTCTTAAAACAGGCAAAGCAAGAGGAGATGCTAGAGTGACTTCAGGGCAGGAACTAATCTCCTCTGCCCACATACACAAATGATTTCACAACTCTTGACAAAACAGTGTTGTAAACATAGTTTATTGGTTTAACAAAATACTGCTTTTGAAAAGTGTCTCCCATCTGGGACTTTCAAATACACTGTTTTATTTACCCACAACAGCAGACACACTGGGAGCCAGAAAACATAACCAAGGCCTTTTCACACCTGGCACCTCGAAGCAGCCAGTGCAACCTGCCGGGCTCTGCTGGCTCCGAGAAGGTGGAGGAGCCCTTCACTCAGCAGGTCCTCACTTCTACCTCACTCCAACTCCTGGGGAAACTTGGGGTGGGTGCCTATGGCTTCTTGGTCATGTGATTCCTGGAGGACAGGACAGGAATTTGGAGGAGTTAAAGTATGTCAAATATTGGTCAGCATTTCATGGTGATTCTCCCAAAGGCTGAGACAAGAGGGGACTCCATTCTCATTCCTCATTTGATAAGCAAAGGCCTCATTTAAACTGTGAACCATCAGGGAACCCAGCACCCTGAGTTCATGGCCAAATTCACAGCAGGTTGGGCACTCACCACCCAAGGGCTTCCTCCTATCCTGGGGACTCATCTCCGATTGGCAGTCTCCTGTCCAGAGAGGCTCTTCCTGTGAATGTTAGCCTATTGGCTGGTGGGGCTTGGGGTTCCCACCTCATACAGCTTTCTTTTCCTTTCCCTGCGCTGCACTCCAAGGCCTGCTTGCCAGTGGGCTGCAACTCAGGCTTCACAGCTCACTGAAGCACAGTTCCAAGACCTTGCATGACGGCTACCTCCTCTTGGTAATCACTTTGTGGCCCAGGAAACAAAAGCTTTAAGATTCGGGCTTAACCTCAGATAAGAACAGAAGGAGGAACACTCCATACCCAATGGACATGTCTATCAGACTTTTCTTTAAGACAGCCGAGAACATATCTACTCAAGTGAGAGTTGCTTCACTCAGGCTAAGATTGCTGCCTCAGCACTGACCGGCAGAGGGCACTCCTCTAGTGGACATCTCTAGAACCTGTGAGAAATGCTGTGGACAAGCTCCTCCAGGCAAAGCACAAGTTTCTAAAACAGGTGCAAGCTGTCTGGAGGCAGGTTTAAATAAGGTGGATAGCACCATCCTGGCCCCAGATGGATGGTGGTGGCGAGCAGTGGGGCTGAGCTCTGGGCAGACAGCAGTATCTGCTCCAGCAGGGCAGCTCTGAAGGACCACCTCTCACTGAAATACAGGCCTCAGCACTTTATTTAGTCACTGCAAAAGTCATACATGTATTAGAATGCTGTCATGGGTAGAAAATATATGTCCTTGATAAACAAAAGTTCCTAAAGAAAAAAGGGGTAAAAGTAAGGACTTTCTGTCTTCCTCTGCCTTAAGGGGCCTTTGTGAGACTCACATGACAAACACATAAAGGGACCCAACAGGCAATCACTTAACACTGCCTTCTTTTACCTCTTCCCCCTTCAAGAGACAGGAATGGTGCCGTGTCCCCCAACGCCTTTTGGGGCCTTCTTTCTATGTTCTATCATAAAACCAGGAAACAGGCAATCAAGCTGCGAGAAGACAGATACCGCCTCCCTCCCAGGGAGGCAGACTTCCAGTGAGAGCCCATGTTTCAAGTCACACATCAGCTGGAGAGTTGGAAGACTAAAAAGACTCGTCCTTTCCCTGCAGGAAGAAGTGGGTAGAGTCTGGAAGGGCCCCCTCGGCCCAGGTGCTGGACGGTAGCTGACATTCTAGGTCCAAAGGCACTTTATAGCTAGATGCATAAGTAGAGGTCAGAGACTTTCTCCTCTAAAAGCAGAACTGAGCCTGGGACTAAGGTTTAAGGCACTTGACCTTGGGCTAGCAATGTAGGTCTGGAGCACAGGCCCCTCTAACTTACCACCCTACTCACTTCCCAGTGTTTCTCTGACACTGCAAGTTGTGGCTCATAGTGTTTAATGTTGTAATAGTGCAGTTGAAGTAGCTGCCTTGCCCCATTCTCCAGGGGTCAGTTTTCAGGGGTGCAGGACACAAACCAACAGTGCCCTTAGGTGTTCTTTAAGAGATGGAACAGTCAGACTGATCTTGAGATCCTGATGTATACAGAAACCCCTGGGGATGGGTATTTTGGTTTCAGGGACTCAGTGCTCACAGGCTCACTTATAGTCCACATTTGGAGTCACTGATGTTTGATTTGCTGGGAAACCGAGGTGCTTTGGAGCTTCAGTGCACAGGATATCTTGTAGACTTTAGACCTTAGCCTCCCCACCTCCTCCCCACCTCCCAAAGTGGTGCTGGGGACTGAACCCAGAGTCTTGTGCATGCTACGCAGGTACTCTACCACTGAGCTGCACCCTCAGTCCTCTTGTCTAACCCTGTGTTAGAATGGAGCTCAGTAGCAGTGTGCTTGCCTAGCATGCAAGAGGCCCTGGGTTTGATTCCTGGGACCATTCCAAAAAATAAAAATTCTCTACATACAGCATATTGGCAGAAGGATTTATAAACCCTGGCTCTCCCTAAGGTCTCTGTTACCAGAGCACAAGGTTCTCTAATCAAAATTCTCAAAAAATTTCAAGATAATAGGCCAGCCAAATGGGCCAACATACTATTACTGGGGCTCTACAAGACTCTTAGTTGTATATTTTTTGGAGGTAGGAAAGGAAAACACGTGGGGCAGATAAGGGGCTAATTTTACTTTTTCTAATATGGGTTTTCTTTGGGACTTTTTTTTTTTTTTCTCCTGGCTACTGGGGCGCTAAACTTATGCTGATTTCCACTTTGCACATAAAACTGTTCTAGACTTTAATACCTTGTTTTGACAATTCCCCTTTAGTCTGAACAGAGAATAGTCTATTCACAACTGGGGATGGGATCAAAAGCTGGAATTGCTTAACTCTAACTAAAGCAGGATTCACTGAGATCCCCAGATTTAACAACAGCATCTTTTTCCTAGGTGGCCTATCTAAACAGCGCAAAGCAGTGGAGCATGGGAAGAAGTCATGCAAGGAGAAGAGAACAAGCTTCCAAGCAGGCCTCTCCCATCTTACTGGTGCCAGAAATATTCGGAGAACTTGTTAGAAAGGTAGATGCCCAGAACTCCCCACCAGCAAAGCCCTTAGTTGTGGAGATGCATAGTCATGTCAAGAGATGGGGTGAAAGGAACTGATGGGTTCTACCTGAGGCAAAAAGAACAAAATTTAAGC